TATCTTAACCACGAAAAAGCGAGTGAGTGTTCGAGGGAGGGCAGCCAAAGTGAAAACTTATTTCAGGGAGCAGGACGCAGGTTATTGACTACGTGAACCCCTTATCCGCCTTTTTCAACCCCAAAAGCCCATACCATTTTTTTCCAACGAAATTCCGGATCATGATTAACTGTAAGAAGACGAACCAATAAATGGTTACAGCAAGAAGCACTACGTATTTCCTAAAACAACTACGCGCGCGGATGTTTTCATTGCCCAGTTCAATTGTTTACTATGTTATAGACACCTTGGGACCACAAAGCGATTAAACTTACGTTGCTCACCAGGAAGGATTGCCAAAGAAAATAGCGATTAACACACAGAAAAACTAAACTAAATTTTAGACTCGCTACAAGAAGAAGGCTTGAAAAAAGAACAGCCACACTTCTTGATTCATGCGCTTGGTTTTCTGGGTTTCATTCCGCCAAACGGAGTCTGCAGGTGAAATGAAAACACAGAATATGCGATCTGACAAACACCAAATAGACGGAGTGCTAGGAAGAATATTTATTCAGTCATATTGTAAGGATGGGAGTCATAATCCGAAAGAAAGTTGCGCGAGCTGCAAGAAAAAGCCTTAAAAAAAACATAGTTTTAATTCGATCCCTGTCCAAGGTAATCCCACACTGGTGATTATGAACTCAAGGGGTTTAAGGCCCTGCTTAAAGGTGTGTTCGGAGCATATTATTAATTGTCAATATCTCTCGCTAGGAGACCTAGCGAGAGACCGTTTTGGTGCACCAATATGGCCGTCAGAAATCAACAAAAACATCTGGAGTTCACTTTTTCTATAAAAGCTCTTTCTTTTCACTCGAGAACTAGAATACGATCATTTAAACATATCTTCTAATACTTGAAATGGTTATACCGCTGAAAATCAAGAGGAGAGACTTTTTTAGGTGTCACGCACTGTGAAAACTCGGAAGTTCAAATTGCTGTATTTTCGAAATGAAACATGCTACTGGACTGGAAACTTGTACAAAGATTTATTTTTGGTTTATCTTCAACCTAGTAGTGTAAATAAGAATTCGTAAAACCTCGCTATTTTGACTTTACGATTTGATGACGTCACTGTGAAAACCATCTATAGATCATTTTTCACAGGTAAACCCACACATTGACCCAGGCCATAAACTACTTGATAAAAGCCTCACTCCACACAGGACCTTTTCATGATCATTGAGGGTTTCAAAGATCTGCCAAAGATCTTCTCAAGAATCCTTGCAAAGATCTTTTTTCGACTCAGCAAGTCACCCTTCTTCATGTTATGTAGCACGCCGATGACTACAATTACCCCTGTTTTGCAAATTTCTTTTGACTAGGAAAAAATAAATTGATATAATGACAAGCAATTCACAACAACTAGAGCGTAATAGACTCTCCTTGTTTGTGAACTGCGTAATACAGTATTTTGTATCTGGCCTTCAGAATTATCGCTTTTCGTACTTACGGACATCACGGGCACGACATGACTGCATAGGTGTTTTACAGTTTTTATGGAAACTGTTAACACATAATTATAAAAGGAATGCCACACAAACAGTACGAAGGAATTGAGTATTGTTAGCCTGTGTACAGACCTCCCCCCTCCCTTAGGAAAAATCGGGAGAGGAGACGTCTGTGAATCGCCGACGATAATCGTGTTCCTGTTTCCCCGGAATGTTGGGGACAGCCTCTGATTGGTTGTAATGTTAATGCCATGACGCAAATAATTTACGCTGTTGTGATTGGTGAACGAACCTCAGAATAGATTCCCCGGGGAAAAGCTCAGCCTTTGTGAACATTCATATTTGTTTACCGGTATTTGTATTTCGGTTCTCTCGAAAAGGCATGAGAAGACCATCGATGTTTGCTGCACCGGTTGCCGTTACGTCTGTCTGTACGTTTCGGTAATGTAAATAAAAGAGAAGGGATACAAAATCCAACGTTAACAGCCAAGGCAGGTCAGGCTTACCCCAAAAAGATTCTATTAATGAATTGATTATTTGAAAAAATGAATCCGTTAGTCATCTGATTTATCCGTTAGTCATCGGCATTCCTGTATGCGTAATGAGCAGTGAATATTTTAAGAGAACTTCTTTGCATTTGGTCAGATTGAAAATCTTTGAATGGATTAAATGTCTTAGAAGACATTTACATCAAATTCAGGGAAACTGAGCTGGTAGAAAGTTCGTAACTGAATCGCGTGTGAACTCACGGCTCATTACGCATGCAAGAATGCACACAGAGATGAATTTGAAATCTACAACTACCAACGGTTCAACTTTCGAATAATAAATACATTAATGGGATCTTGGGAGGTACGCTTGTATTCGCTTGACCTGGTTTGACTGTAATCAGAGATCTTATATCTGGATTTTTGGGTGGATATTGCGTGAAGATGTTCGTCTAGCCTGTGCACAGACGCCAGAGCTATTTTTCGACCTACATGTGCCTTTTCAACTGTCGGCGAAAAAACAAAAAAATAATTTATGCAAATGTATACCGGAACACGATTAACGACGGCGATTCACAGACGTCTCCTCTCCCGATTTTTCCTGAGGGAGGGGGGAGTTCTGTACACAGGCTAAGTATTATTTTATTAATATTTATCTAGTGCATGTCATGCGTACCGTTCCATCATTTTAAAAATATTTTTCTAATCTCAAATCTAATTTGATTCTTGGTCTACCCCAGTTCAAAACGGCTCAGTTGGGTAGAAAAAGAAAACACGCAATTGATAACACGGTTGTCAGGTGCCCGCTTCGACAAAAACCAAATATTCCACTTGTATAATTGTAGTTTCCTTGATGTGGTTCTGTGAACAAATCTTGTGCATACACTGTAAGTGTTGGAGCAAAAAAATGCTATAATATAATCAGCTTTTTACGCTGTCTTGTGAATCAATGCAGTTTCTCATCTTTGTACTTCACAGTTCAATACTGATGCATCTGTTTTTCCGGATCTTGCACGCAAGTCCTAATACATACGTTTGAGAGCTAGAAGAAAAAGCATTGCCAAAAGAAATGATGTAATAATCACTTTCAATTTGTGAAACAGAAAGTCTTCTCGGTCTTTGAGTTAAACAGTCCAATAATGAGTCTTTTATAAAAGTTGAAGAATTATTCCAGAGCTTTGTTGATCAAATCCTCCTGTTCGGAGATGTGGTGATGTTTGTTCCCTGTTGCAGTTGACGCCGATGGCGGGCGACCAGCATAGCTGTAAAAAATAAAATGAAGAGAAAACGTGGGAAATGGGAGTAAAAAAATTAAGGAAGCGCGTGGCAATTACAAGAACTCAAAGCGGCTCGTTCAGATAATTTAGTTTATAAAACTCCTATTAATCAGCCAGGGGAAGGAAATTCAAAATGGCATCCCTCTCTAGCGCATTTTTTCTGTGTCTTAATGAATACAAAAAAAAGAAAGTATTTTGCACGTCTTTCAAGTGCACTGGACATACAGCGGAATACAGACCACTACATTGACCAATCACAGGTCGATATATGATGGGATCATTTTTTCGTGCAGATTCACGAACCGGGCAATAAAGCATTTGTATTTCTAAGGCTAAGTTTACACAATACCGGATGACTCTTTGTACCGGCACGGAAAGCCGTCCGCTATAGTATGAACGGTAACGGCATTGAACTGGAACAAGTCGTTCACACACATCGTGCCGGAGCGGTTGGCCGAGAAGGTTTGTCGCTCTAAATCCCAATCCTCACTCCTGAATATTAACTTTCGTCTCATTGGGTTTCAGTATTCTATTCTACTTATTAGGGAGTTTAAGATACCACGACGGCGAAGGCCACGAAAACGTCGCTTAAAAAGTGAATTTGCGTTTTTTCAATCTCATCGCGATTTCTCCCACTACTCTTTTTGAGCCGAATTCCTAACAACCACATTCAAGTTGAGAAAGAGAAAGAAAATTTAGCCGTCGCTTGTTTACATCCTCCATAAAACCTGAAATTAGACATTTTTCCGTCGTAGTCGTGCAGTGACAGCAAAGAAATGTACAAAAAAGTTGTTGTTTGGCTTATTCAACCAATTGCTTTTTTGACGTTCTCGTTGTCGTCAGCGTCGTGGCATCTTAAAGTCCCTTTTCACACTGCACTATTGTACAACCTAAGAGTGAAACCAGAAGTCGAGGGGGTTCAAGAAAGTCGACTTTTACAAACCTGATCTTAGGCTTGTTTCCAACAGCCGTTACAAGTCGAGGACTGACATAAGTCCAGTATCCCATGTTCATGGGCTCTTCCTGCGCCCACACAATGTCCGCATTATCGTACTTTTGGTACTCAGCGTGTATCAAGTCAAAGGGAAAAGGGCTTATCTGCAATAGAAACAACAGCGGTCAGTGTTAAAAATAGGGAATGACAAACACATAAACAGGCAAAAAGAGAGAAGAAAAGACACACGACAATAAACCAAGACTTTGACATCGTGGTAGGTAAAAACCTAAAGATACACAACTTACAGTGGAATCCGGAAGTTCTCAAAATCGTGGGGGTAAGGGGAAACTGAAGGAAATGCAGTTTTGGTTCCAGGGACCTGTTTCTCGAACGTTCCCGCAACTTTTCAGGCCCGGAAAGCCGTTTTATATTTCCGTGTTTACATTTAAACTCAACCTTTTAGTAGTTTTTAAAATTATACAATGAAACCATCAGTTAACAAAACAAAATGGAACGGTTTGTGAGCGAGGAACCGTGATACCATTCGATAGGTCTTCGGGCCTAAAAAGTTACCGGGACTTTCCAGAAACAGCCCCCAGCATAGTAATTAGAGGAGACTGGTTATGAAAGCTGGAAGGAAGAAAGGTTTATGAAATCAGCTTTCTACTGTATATAGGTATAGAAATGAACTTGTTCTTTGCAAAATTTCAAAGCACTCTATCCCATAGTAACTTGGAAAAATACTCTAAGTTACCTGCTCAACGCGAGTTATGGCTATGTCTTCCTCGAGTCCTCTCTTGTTACGTTCCTGATATTAAAAACAGACATTAAGAACAACCGATACGGAGGATTTTGCCTACACAAGGCAATGAACAACATTGCCTAAAATTTCGGTTTTGGCACCTTTATGATGCGTAGATAACTTTGCGATTTTGTTGGTTAATATTATTACTTGAACACATTTCTGCCCTAAAAATTCGTGTTGAAGGTCACGCTGGAGCCACACACTACAAGACCACTAACTGACGGCTCAACAAATACCCAAGTGAAGTTTTGAATATATGAAGTACAAAGTATTACAAAGGTTGAAGTATTCGACAGGTTTTTCTTCGGAGAATTCCTGAAGTGACGTCACCAAACCAAATCCCCCAACAAGATTTATTTGGGAGTTAAAGCAAAGCCTTTTGGGGGAAGCACGTCAACCGGAAGTGGCCTTTTTGCAATATTCGGCTGTGGTTTGGCCTAAATTTTTGGGCAAATCGTCTCTATAAGAGCAAAGGCAATAGGGAAAACGCCTCACTTCCGGTGGTCTGCTACACAGCCGTAGGAACGTTGCGTGACGACACTAAAAACGACTGTGTAGCAGACTATACGTCCGGTTGTCGTGCGTCACTCAAAAACGTCTCCGTTTAAACTCATAATAAGCAAGAAAATAATAGAGGATTTACGGTAAGGTGAAATCAGTTAACAAAGGAAAACTTCCTACTTTTCTCCATTTCATCAACATGAGATCTAGCGGCTTCCAATCGCAGAAGACTCTTGGGGGTCAAAAGGACGAGCTAAGATAAACATGCAAAAATTTTAAGCGGACTGTGATATATATTTTCAGCCATTTGTAGCTCCAGTTTTCGTCTTTCTCCTGTAAAGTGGCCCGTCTTTTGCACAGAAAGGCTGTAAACCAGTTCTGTTGTTTGTCAATTGAAATTATAAATCACTTGTTTGCGTTCGATTTACTCTAAGCAACACTCAGAAAAACCAGAACAAAAACAAAACTAACATTCAAAACTTAAAGGTTTAAGGAAGTTCAATGCGATCTGACGGCGTAAAATGTAGAAGAAATTCGCTGGTGTGCTGCTGTTGACAACCTCTGAATTTCAAAGCGACTAAAGTTCATTACATGTCCACCCCTGGATAAAATATTAACCCCCCATTCGCCTCGCCCCTGAACCATCCGTCACCGCCCGTGCCGATCCACGTCCTTTCTACTTTCAAAATTTCCTAAGGCCCGGTTCAAACGCCGAACTTTACATGTGCCGAACCTAATTATTAGGTTCGGCACATGTAAAGTTCGACGTATGAGTCAATTAGGAACGGCACTTTTATATTTGGGTCGACTCTGCCGTTCTATTCGATTGAGCTTGTGGAATAGAACGGCAAAAGATCGACTTCGATTCATACGTCGTACTTCACATGTGCCGAACCTAACGCATAAATTATGTTAACGTATTTTATAATATAACCGTGCTTCTGATTGGCTATTTAGTGGGCTTTCGCACCTGTGCTGACAGAACTCACAGAACCGTAACGACGGTTACGGTCTAGTTACCAGCATTCACGTTGTAGATTTTTAGACTAAAACTGGACAGCTCAAAACGGTCTTCTAAAAAGCTGCTTTTCTTTATGTCCATAAAGAAATCGTAATGTAATTTAAAATTTATTGCGTTACTTCATTTTGTCCAGATATCACGATCACGATCTCCTCAACTGTCTCCTTGCCATAACAGAGCACAAATCACACTAAAATCAAAGCAAGAATTTCCAGGCTTGGTAAATTTTACTTTTTTCAGTTTATTTCCCTATTTTAAGCAGTGAGGATGATATTTCTTTTCGCCACGAATTAGGTTCGGCACGTATAAAGTTCGACCGTCTGAATCAACAGTCGAACTTAATAGTTTGGGTCGACCTAAATAGGTATTAGGTTCGGCACATGTAAAGTTCGACGTTTGAACCGGGCCTAATTTAATGTTTTATGAAGGGCAAAATGACAGCGATTTTCTAGTTCTTTTTCTGAACTTAGAAAAACTCCTTTAGAATCCTGCTCGAGAAAGATTCGCCAACATTATATATTTCACAAATCCCATAACGACGGCGGGAGAGGGGAATAATAACGCGAATTCACTTTTTAAAGTTACCTCTTCGTTGCCGTTGCCGTCGCCGTCGCCTTCGCCGTCGTGAGCGTGCTTAAAGGTCGACTGTTCTGTGGCTAAATACGAGCCGAGAAGGAAAACGAGAAGAAGCAACGCTAAATCGAGTAGACTAAAGAGAACCCGTGTAGCCGGCTTTTTGCATACAGCTTACAGCTCGCGCAGAGTTAGTAAATCTAGTACGCACAGAGTTCATTAGTCTAGAAGGACAAGCAAAGTTTCTTTATCCAACACGCTCCACAATGAAAATTTGCTCTTTTGCCCTAACAGCGGTATGAGTTACTTAACGGGGGCTAGGGTGTACACAGTGCGAAGAATATTTTCAAGGTAGGCGTCCCCCTGAAGTTCCTTATCCCGAGGCTATGGTATAAACTAGACACCGTAAGGCGTTCACTGGGCTGCCATAAAAATTAGACTAGACAGATATATTATATTGTAAGAAAACGAGGAGTTTTCCAGAAAAGACAGCTGACTGCCGATAAAAGGAAGTAACTAATAGAAACGCTAAACTGACCAGTTTCCATCCTGTACACCATGACATCCCGACCCACGAGCCCCGTTCAACCGATTCCACTGACTGACTTATAGATGATAATCTAATTAATGGTCAACATAATGTGACGAAAGGTTTTTCCACTTTCGATCGACTTTAAGGGCTAAACGTGAGCTCTGGGTTTGAACACTGGAAACTGTCTTCTAAACTGGGGAAACTAAACTCAAAGGGCAACTCGCTTACAGGTAAGAGCCGTCACAACTCCTAGGACCCGGATCAAACGGATCATTCACCGTTTCTGGACAACGTGTCGTAAAGTACTCGATAAAAATCGTCTCGATTTAATGGCCTCTCGATTACGTTTCCGCCAGTCCAATCGAAAACGTGAAATCGAGACTCGTTGCCACCTGTCTCGATTACTCGTTTCAGAAACGAGACACGTTAAACTAAAACGTGGCGCCCAAAACGAGACTCGATTTTTCTCTAAAACGTAGGGCCCAAAACGAGACTCGATTTTTCGTTTTCGTAGGGACTCGTTCAAAAACTAGAAAAGGTATTTCGCCTGGAGAAGGTTAAGTCCAAAAAAGTAGGAAGTAGCATATGGATACCGTAAAATTCCGAAATTAAGCCCCTCCAAATATAAGCCCCCCCAAACCGGTAACGCAAAAACCCCTCCGTTAAATCGTCCCTCCATATATAAGCCCCCGGGGGTTTGTATTTGGAAAATTACCCTCAAATACAAGGTAAAACAAAATCAAAACGGTAAATTTACCTTCAACTATAAGGTTAGCCCAATCGATCTTGAAACGCAAATTTCCCTCCGTAGATAAGCCCCTCCAAAAATAAGCCCCTTAAAAAGGGCCTTTGAAAAATATAAGCCCAGGGGCTTATTTTCGGAATTCTACGGTACTCTGTAGCTATGCTTGTACAGCCAATTAACTTAATCATTTAGAATAAACAGAACCCTTGAAACTAAGTACTTCGTCTTAGAATTGATCCAGCTAGGAGTCATTGGCAGATGAATTAGCTGATTGTAGTACTTCAAGACCATTTATGTCAACTCAGGAAATTATTAATTGGGTCAAAGAGTATCATCCATCCAATATATCTGTTCATGCTTATAAAGCAACTTATACCAAATTTATGAGTTATATTAGTCATGCTCCAGATGTTGTTCTCATATTCTCTGTGAAAGATCATCATGTCCACCCAATAACCGATCCAGAATTAAAAAAGGTAGCTTCATCAAAAAATCAATTTGGTACAATTAATTTGTTTGAACATATGTCTGAATTAAAATGGACAAGACGACATGATAAATTTGCCATGTATGATGATCTTACTCCAGAAACCCAAAATAATATTATTGTTTGTCCTGAAGATTTGGATGTCAGAACAGCTATCAGTCGATGTATGCAAAGTTCGGGTTATTATGTTGAGTACATGCATTTCAATAATAATGGTAAACTCGATGGATTTCTCGATCATAAAAATAATATTATGTTGAAAATAATGAATACGATATTCGTAAACAAATATGTGATAAATTGTATGATACATATCCAGTCCACGATTTTATGTGGGCAAGCCAGAGTTATACTGCAATAGCCAATTCATTGTTCAGAGTAACGGTCGGTTTTGTGCCTGAAAGTAGCTATAACAATAAGACAAGGGAAATATTAGATAGATATTACCCTCAAGCTTTTCAATGGTGTAGTTTTGAAGATCCGCCCACTAATTTGAGCAATATTGATATTTGCAAACAATTCCCAAGTATTCTGATACAAAATGGTCAAACAATTCCGATATATACGATCCATGACACAATTGAGAAATTTCAAGGCAAACAGGAGATGGATAATGGCATTGGTATATATTACCCCGAACTAAACCAAAATGGGAATTCTATATTGACACATTCACAATCAAAAAATTCGGTCAAGAAATAAAATTCCCAAATGGCTTCTATCATACTTCTCTCATCGATTTCCTTGTTTATGAATGTAAAATGCCTGTCTCAAATATTAAATTCAAATTAATTGCCCGCCGTGGTTGAAATGTGATACCTTCAAAGATTTTCCTGATTCATATATTTAAAACATTTCCTGAAGCTCAAGCCAAAAAGATGGCTAACTCATTTATTGGCGATTTAGGACGCAAATATAATCGTACTAATTATGGTTTTACATGTCAAGATCTCAAAACCGCTCAGAATATATGGACTCAGGGATTGATTAATGGCAAAAATATCACGACTGATAATTATGAAAATATATATCTGGTTCGTGAACAAAAGATTGACAGAATATTATCTAACCACACAAGTATCAACCGCTTTATAATTTCACAATCAATACTCCAATGTTTCCAACTTTTGAATAAGAATTGGACCGA